AACTTGTATACTTTATTAAACAAGGAACTGATAAAACTTTTATATGACATATTAACTGTGACAGTTGAGTGTCTATACCATTACCATAGTTTTGGTACTGATGCTGGTATTGGTACAGAGCGTCAGTGCATTTTACACTATACTTCTAAAACTATCCCGCCCAAAACTGATACCAGTAATGGTGTTGGGACACCATTATTTTTTATCACATGTTTGGTATTATGTTTGACTCGTTATGTTTTTGTGTGCAGTACTTTGGTTAGAGGTAGTTGTTTTTAAATGTGCTACATGAATAAATGCATTTAGTTTGATTATCATTGTGCTTTTTTATTTATTTATTTTTTAAAGATCTTAAAGTCACTAGAACTCATCTTATGGACAGCCATGTTGTATTTTTGGAGCCACACTGGAGACYTGAAGCTTTAAGTCTTGGCCTTGGCCCCGCCCCTTTAATGTTGAATAACCTTTCTTTTAAGGACAAAACAGACCAAACACATTTTAGTTACATGTATTTTCAAAATCAAATTTTGAACATTTAGCACTAAGGTACAATTCTTTTTAAATTAAATTTAAAAATCTGCATTTTTATTTAATCCCACCAAGGATGTCCTGTTTGTTTTTGTGGCTGTATCAGGTCTAAAGTTTATACTGGAACCAGCCTGCAGGGAAACTGATCCCACTCCAACTTCAGCTTCCAGGTTCCAATTGACTAGTTGACTGTCTAGTTTCATTTACAGATTATCATATTTTACACATCCAAACCTGAGTTACCTTGATAGAGTTTAATTTTGTAGTCTTTGTCATTACAGTATTTTTATCATTCCATAAAATGTAAATTTCCCACATGAATGAAATATTTACTATTGTTTGAATCTTTGTTCACATCCAGGGTTAAAATGTCTCAGACATTAAGCTATGCAAATTAAATACTGACTATAGACTGATTAAAATGAAACAGATTAGCTGAAGCTGCATAGAAGCTCTGAAATCAGAGCAATATAGTCTAAATGTTAATAGAAAAGAAATCTATTTAGCCTTTTAGTGGGTTGAATAACTTCAAGGCTTTTTGCGAACACCCTATGGATCATCAGGAGCTCCCAGGTGGGACTATTGCCTTAGGAAATGCTRCTCTTCTTCACTGTGAAGAGAATCCCCAGTTGGTTTAAGTCATATACTGTTAGATGCTAAAGAATCCAATTTACCCCATTCCCATACTTCTTTGATTTCCTTTACTTTGTAAGGTCATTTCTCTGAAATCTTAATTTGGAAACTGTGATTTCTTCCCTCTGTGAAAAGCGGCAGGAGTCCCTCCCCCTCTCACTCTCAGCTGTCATAAAGGCAGGCAGGTGTCCTGAAGATGGTGAAAAAGATGACGTTAACAGACATTTGCAATTAGAGCAAAATGATCTTGAAACTGAATTATTGTCCTGATAATGGGTTGAGCAGAACACACTCCCCAGAGCACACAAGGTGGTCTCTGTTTTAAGCTACAACCAGAAGAATCTGCACAATACAGTACTGTGCAAAAGTACTTCTGCTTAAACTTGTGTCTTTATGTGCTGCTTTCAAAGAGTCTGATCTTTTTATTTTTTTTTACTCAAGCACTCATCCAGTAAGTTTTTATTTTTGCTTGTTTTTTTTTTTACATTTCCTGCTTTTTCAGTAAATTACACTGAAATCTTTATATGAAAGCTGTATTTTTCATAAATTAATTGTGACGCAAACGTGAATTATTTAAAGCAAAATAAAAAAAATACCTTCAGTTYTTTGTTTTTCATGGAAGATATTATCTGCTCGTCTCGGAAACACAAAGAGTGTCACGTCGGCAGAAAGAGAGAATGAATGTGATATCTTCCTTTCTTTGTGCTGGCCGGCCTCAAGGTGACATGGGAGTGTGCGCTCATCACCAGAGCCAACTGTGACACTTTTTCTCCACGGAGCTCATTAAGGGGCCAAGGGGACCTCTGCACCGGCAGCATGTTTAACAAAAAATCACATTTTACTAAAACCAGTTTCTGTTTCATCAAACACCTGCTGGGTTTTACACACACACTGTAAATGTTGGATTGTCCTTGCAAGGTGATCCAGGCAGGAAAAGAAAAGTTAATTCAGTTCAACTAAAATAGACTTAGATATATAAATAAAAGGATARGGCTTTACATAAGAAGTATTAAACTTCTGTGATAAGTCAATTTATGTTCAAGAAATTCCTTTTGGGGCATTTAGTTGAAGCTGAGTAATTAGTAATAATCACTGTGTCGTCAGCAAAGTGTCAAAATGAAGGGAACCAGATGTGTAAAAGTAAAACAGTATTTTGTTTCTATAATCTACAAACAACTATTTTTCATGTAATAGAGCTTAAAAATGTTGTAACAACATGAATGAATGTTCAAAAAATTACAATTTTTATCAACTTTATAAATCACTTTAAATTTCAAACATCAGTTGTCAAAATGTTAGTTAGGATTTATATGGTTTTTATGGGATTATATTCTCTTCATTCTTATAACAAGACAGCATGTGTGGCTTTCATAGCTTTTCTATCACCCATCCATCTGTCCATCCATCCATCCATCCATCCATCCATCTGTCCCTCCATCCATCCATCCATCCATCCATCCATCTGTCCATCCATCCATCCATCTTTCCATCCCTCATCCATTCATCCGTCCATCCATCCATCCATCTGTCCATCCCTCCATCCATCCATCCATCCATCCATCTGTCCATCCATCCATCCATCTTTCCATCCCTCATCCATTCATCCGTCCATCCATCCATCCATCTGTCCATCCCTCCATCCATCCATCCATCCATCCATCTGTCCATCCATCTGTCCATCCATCTGTCCATCCATCT